AAAAAAAAAAAAAGGGAATATAAACCATGTGCCCTGTTCTCCCATGCTATTATCTGCACAAAGTTTGTATCCTATACTAAAAGTCACTGGCATCTCAGTGAGACTGTCTCAAAAAAAAAAAAAAAAAAAACCTAAAAAAAAAAAAAAAAAATACAGGGTATATAAACTGGCCAGAGGGCCAGAGAGACAATGTTGTCACTTTTAGAAGCCCCTGCAGAGGACAAACCAGTCATGTGGGGACTCACAGGGAAGGGGGCAAAAAAGAGCCACCCCTCTGTCCCCCTCTGACAAGGTAAGAAAGGTCCTCCAGCCCTGCAGAGAACTGACACCTTTACCAACACAGGAAAATAGTCCTCTTTCTTCCTCAGAAATTAAACCCTCACCACCCACAGGGGAAAGCCAGGGCCCTCCTTGCACTCTCAGGCCCTTCCAAGCTACTGCAGGGTAAGCCTTGCCGGGAGCACAGCTCGTAGTGGGAACACACACAGGCCTCCTCTCCAGAGTCCCCTCCTCTGTCCATGTGCTGCTCTGTCTCCAGTGTAGTTCTCAGGCTTCGCGGTCAGACACATCGAGGTTCTAACTCTGGTCCACCCCTTACTAGCTGTGTGATCCCAAACACACAAAACCCAAAGGGCTGTGAAGAAAAAAGGCCAGGGAGACGTAACCAATGAGGAACTCGTGGGCTGTACCATCTGGGTAGGTCCCTGGGAGAGCCTCTGAAAAATATCCTGAAATCAGAGCAAGAACACAATGCCCTCTGTTCCTGCAGACTGAGGGTGTGAAGACAAAGAAAGCCCTGGCAAAGCAGTTCCAGGGGAAGGCAGAGTGGGTCCCCTGGGAGAATAGCACCAAACTGAACCCTGAGTAGTTGGAATCCAAAAAGGACCTTCAGTAGATATTCCTGATTCTTTGCCAGTGTGTAAATTCCTTATGAATTCTGACCTTGGGCTTTCAGAGCCCAGAGGGCTAACAAATGGCCATTCCCACAACGAGTCAGAGGCTTTACATCTTACCTGCTTGACTACCTGTACCTGAGCTACAGCTCAGGAAGCTATTTGTCAATAAATAGAAAACAAATTAGCCTGATTTTTGGTTCTGCTGAATTTACATTCTGAATCCAAGAGTCCCCTGATGATCAGAGTAAAGAAATTGCAGTGAAGAAAGAGAAAAATACAGTTTGGTACAATTCCCACATTTCCATTCCCTAAGGATGCTCATGCTAACGGTGGGAAGCAACTGCAACCCACAGGTGAGAGCATGGCCCTCTCCGGCCCTCTCGTTGGATGAATGCTCACACTGGGAATTAACCAAAAAGAGTTAATTTTGACAAAGAATAAGCAGACAACCCCCAGGGCTAACCCCTCTCCCCATCCCATACAAAACTTATTTATACTAGAAATATTGTGAATCTTAATCCAAACTAATTTTCCCATCATAGTCACGATTAATTACCCAAATAAAATATTCCTTTTTTATGTGGAGTACTTAATACAATGATACGTATAAGGCCAGAGGTAGACTACTTTATTTACAAATTTCTGATAGCTAATTCCATTAGCTTTAGAAGTGCAATGAAAATTCTGTCTTTTTGAAAAGTAAATAAAGGTTGAAAAAATAGACAAAACCCTTAGAAATAATAATCTTCAGGAATATAAAAATTTTACTCCCAATAAAACCTGAACATTGAAAGCAGCAATTGTTACACAAACAGTTCTGAAATTACATTTAATAAAATGAAGAATGTTATTATCCAACAAGAACACATTCTACACAGACAGCCTTTGCAGCAGGACACATTTAGTGGCTACAGCGTTCCGGATCTGGACGTGCCCGTGACTATTTTAAGCTCATTATCTAATCTTGCCAAGAGTGGCCTCCCTAGATGGTCACTCAGTAAACACCTGCCCAGCAGAATTTGCTAGACAGGATTAGTGCTCGAGCCCTTACCGGATGAGATGCCTCACTGCAGCATCAAACTGCAGAAACATAACCTCCCTCCGGAGGAAGAGTGCCTGGGCCACCTGCGTAGGGTCCTGGGGGCTCTCGAGGCTGTCAATCATTTTCTGTAGTTCTCGAAGCTCAGACCCTAGAAGATGGACATTTTAGTCAAACAGTGTGAAATATAGGCTACTATAGCTAACCCAGTAAACCAACATCATTTCACCTGCAGAGCCAACTTGTCACCCAGACTTCCCTTTCTTTGTGGGTGTACTAATTATATGTTTTGCAAGACCAGCAAAGCCTTATGCTCTAGGACCCAAGGTCTAATTTATCTCTTTTCTTCCTTCCTCCCTCAGGAAGATAAAAATTTCCTTTGCTTTTCAGCACAATAAGAACATGCTGTTGAAAGAAAGTTTTAAAATTTATAAGGCTATGGTCTCAAATAGATCAAAAAAGAGAAATTACAAGGACTAGGAAAGTATAGTCCTCAGTATATCCATTAGGGACTTGAAATTATTATAGCTTATAAATTAGCACTCATTTCTCATTGCCGTGCTATCCAAATCAGCCCTCCTTGTCACTGGCTCATGGATGAAAGAAGACCCGAGCACATCCAAAGCAAGTGAAACATACATATATGTATACAGATACACACATGTGCATACATATGCATACATATCCTAGGAAATTCTAGTCATTTTAAGAGTAGATGTGGGAGACCCCCTATCTGGCTTATTTCTTAGACCCTCAGCACAAGAGCAGGCTGCATATAAATAAATTTATGTTCATTGTAGATGAAAATTTAACTTAGGGGCTTTTTAGGGTGCCCAGTGCTGGGTTGTGGAACCTGGCCTGTGTCTGGATGGCTGTCCTGGTGTGTTACTGGCACAGAGAAGGAGCTAGTCAGCACAGGAGAGCACAGCAGAAATGAGGAGCTCTCAGGGAGCATGCCTGGGCTTACAGGGCGAGCAGAACGTCAGCTAGTCTGAAATGCTCGTCAACTCCCTGTGAGAACAGTGATAGTTTTCTACCAGGAGAGGACATCCCTGTTATGGGAAGGATTGTGAAGTTGATTATTATGCCTCGATATGTGGCTTAAGGCAGGAGCAAGATCGGAGACCCACAGGGCATTTCCGGAGATGGTCTCTTTTGACAGCTGCTCCAGACCCAAGCAGCCTTCTAACCCTTCCAGCCCCCTACTGGGCCTCCTCCAGCGTCTTTTTTTTTTTTTTCCTAAGGCTGGTCAAGTGAAGCAGTGGGAGCTCCAGCATCTTCTGGCTGGAGAGCTGAGGACAGTGGGAATGGGGACGCTGTCCCCGAGAGCGTGGTAGGGCAGGTCCAGGGCCGAGAATGGTTGTTAATACTTGTAACATATTCTCTTGGCTTAGGAAAAGAT